GACCTGCAGCGTGGGAAGCATTGCTTTACGGCACGTTTCACATCACCCTTATGATGCTAATATTGCTCAACAAAAACGTGCAGCGGGACACCTGTTTTACCAGTCGCCTGCTATCGTCTGACCTGGTCTTCTGTTTCCATGTGACAGAGGCACCCGAGTCCTAGCTGAAAGACTGGCAGTTTGCATGCACACAGAGGTGCCCCCGAGACCGGCCGGCGAGCTGCTTCCCCGGTGGAGCCTGGACAGCCCCGGGCGGCGGTTCCCTGCTTCCAGAGGTTGCCCTGAGTGGGAACGGACGCCACAGCCATCGGCTACAACGCTCTGAGCGACTACTATACAGTATCAGACACTATGCTATGCACCAGCGCTCCTGACCGATAAGAACTTCAGACCAATGGGACAGTCTTTAAAACGTACCATAAGCCCCGGGAAACTTCCTCTTGGTCGCATAAAAAGTCAGCCCTGGCCTCTGGACACACGGAATCCAGGACAGATAACTTCCTCAGGAACAGTATTGGGAGTAGTGATACCATGAGGGTAGGGGGGAAGGTGGGAGAAAAGGGGAACCGATCGCAATGATCAACTTATAATGCCACCACCCCCTACACGGCAGCCTAACAACAGAAACGTGGGTAAAGGGAGACAGTGGACAGTGTAAGATATGAAAATAATAATTTATAATTTATCAAGGGTTCACGAGGATGGGAAGGCATGGGAGAGAGGGGAAAAAGAGGAGCTGATGCCAGGGGCTTAAGGAGAAAGACAATGTTTAGAAAATGATCATGGCAACATAGGTACAAATGTGCTCCATACAACTGATGTATGGATTGTCATAAAAGCTGTAAGAACCCCCAATAAAATGATTAAAAAAATAAAGCCCCGGCTTTGCTTCTCCTCAGCAATGATGGGTTTTAACTTAGAAAGCCAAGGATCACAGCCTAGCACTTTGGGCCTCTTCTGGGAGGAGCCCGTCACGTGCACAGCACTGTCTGTCATGTGTTTGGGGCAGTAACTTTCCCATTTGACCCCCTTCCACCCAACAGGCCCCCTGACTGGCCAGTCCGCGGCATGGCTCCCGTGCCTTCCAGCCCGGTTGGCATGAAGGCAGAGCGCACACAAATAAGGGAACCACGTGAACCCAATCCATGGTGCTTCCACCTTTGGGCTTTGCTTTCTTTCTGAAATGAGGGCTTTGGAACTTATAATCACTACAGTTCCTTCTAGTCCAATCATGCCTTGAAATATTCTATTGAGATTGGTCAAAAGACCCCTGGTAGTCTAATACTGTCTCCTCTTCATCTGGTATTTCATTCCCACCACTCCTAACATGGTGTTTGATGTTAACAGAATCCAATTTCACCACGCCTAAGCAGGTACTGAGAAACGGAGGCTCCACTGAGCTAAAGCCGATTGCCTTCTACGGGGCGGGGAACCAGCCACTAGTGGTTGGGTCTCTGCAAAATGTGAGAATGCTGAAGGGAATCAAGAAGCACCCAGTACGTTAAAAGAACCAGGACTGAAGCCGGCTTTTCATGCCAGGCATAAAAGCCCGGGGCAGGATTTTTATGCCGAAGTAAAACTGGGTCCTGAACGATCATCATTCTGAGAGTTCCAGGCACAGACCCAGGTGCGGAAAGCCAGCTCTGACACAGCAGTGCTATGGTTCTCCCCCCGCAGACGGGGACCCCGAGGCGTGGCGAGGAGAACTTGCCTGAGCTCACCCAGCTGGACACTGGCAGATTCCACTCTGGCGGTTTAGACTATGAGGGGGCTATCGAAGGTTCATGGCAAAATGCACGGAAACGATAACAGCGTTTTCCCACAATCCCCTCGTTGCTCACGCCAGACCCCCGGCGCTTGCATTATGCTGTCACAACTTGCACGCCACGCCGGGCACAGCGGATACAGAACCATCTCCTTGGTAGAAAAGGGAATGCAGCCACTTTCATGAACCCGAATTAGGCAGCCGGGAGCCAGAGGCGTTCTCGGGTTTGGGGAGGCTGTCCTGCCAAGCCATGGGCTCCAGATCGGAAACTAAACTCTCGCGTGAACTGAAACTCCTCATCTGAAAAATTACGAGCCTGGAATCCAAGCTTATCCTGCCAGTCCTTCTAGCTGCAGTGGCATGCTTTCCTGTTTTAAAATATGTGTTTGCTTTTGTTTTTGAATGAAGTGGAAATGGACGCATGTCTTATTTAAAAGGGGGAGGCAAGTGGGTCCTTTTATATAACTGTTTTTAGCTCTTCCTTTTGAACGACTTGATTCGTTTCTTTAAAAAGTGTAGGCCCCTTGATTGTGGTGATGATTGTATAACTCTTATTAATTTGGCTGAACTATTGAGTCGTACGATAAGTGAATTATATGCCAATAAAACGGTTCAAAAACAAACAAGTATAGGCCCCTAGTAGAATACACTTTTGTCCTTCTGGTACAATACCATCATGTGCGGAGAACAGGACCCAGCCTGCAATGGTGGTCTTCGCCACGCTAAGAGAATCCACCCGGATCATCCAGAGGGCAGACATGGCAATACAATAACGTCCGGTCAAACTCTCCAGAGGGGTCAGTGAAGGGCGGGTGGGGTGGAAGAGCCCCTCCAGCAGGGTACGGCTGGTCTCCTGGGGGGCCCCCTAGAGACAGTGCAGGGAAGCACTGAAACCTGTTTGGGGCGCTGTCAGATCTGAGGCTGGAAGCCATCCGGTGCTGCACAGAGAAAGAGGGGGCAGTTCGACTCTGTCTTACAGGGTGGCTAAGGATTTGATGATAGATGGTTTGCAGGGTTTTTTGGCTTTGTCCTAGCTCAGTGTTTCCCAAAGTGGGCGAGACCACCCTCTGGGAGTGCTGGAACGACCGAAGCAGAACTCCAAACTCGCTGCCATCAAGGCGATGCTGACTCACAGTGACCCTATAGGACAAGGGACAACTGCCCTGGTGAGCTTCCGAGACGGAGTAGAAGCCTCGCTTTTCTCCCTTGTAATGGCTTGTGGTTTCAAACTGCTGGCCTTGTGGCTGGCAGCCCAACACACCACCGTTACACCAACAGGGGTCCTCAACAACATAGGGGGTCTGCGAAAGCAGATACCTATACTTTATCCTGGATTCTGGGCTCTATAGTACAAAACCTGTTTACCGCTAGCAGGGTACTAAGTCATATATATATGACACACACACATATATATATCCCCGAAAAGGGAGTGGTGAGCAAACAAGGGTGGGAATCTGTCAGTTGGGCGGTGGTGGATTTTAATTATTTTTCCCTCTCCTCCTTTGAGAATCAATTATTCAACTTGACTTTTCCAAGTCTCATTCTTCTCATCATTTTAGTGGAAATAACGCTGCCAGGGGAATTATATCTGAAGCCCAGCATAGAAACACAGCCTTCCTTTCTTTGTCTTGTCTCTTTTTCACTCTAAATCTATTTAATTTGGAAGCAATCTCTGCAAGGGTCTGCTAATTTCCCAGGAACAGGGAAAATAACCCGATGCCACACTTGCTGGTTAAATAACACATTGCTGTTGCTGTGACTTTTCAACGAGCTGACAGCTTACACAGCAGAGACTCTGGCTGTGGGCAACTGATGGCTCTTGGGCAGGCACTCTCCCGCCCCCACCCCCCGTGCCCTGTGACGGTGTACAATTGTCACAGGGACCCAAACAGGGACCTGGTGTGGGGCAGCTGGGCAGGCTGCCTCCCAGCTAAGCCGTCACCCGTGCACTGACAGGAGGAGGAGAGAGTGTCTCGTCAAGAGAACTGAGCAATTAGTTGCTAGAAAGCAGCAGCGGGAGTGTGAGCTGCGGAGGAAAAGAGAAAAGGGAAAAGGTCTTCTCTCTCTCGCTGAACACCGCAGCACTGCTCCCCCTGAAGCGGTGTTTGCAGCGGGGAGGCGAGTGTGCGCTCTCAGAGCCCCCAACGGTGTCAGTGCCATCCGCACCCACCCTCCTGAGGTCCTCAGCAAGGGGCTCTGAGGCGGGTGGCCAGGCAGGGCAGTCCTGTCCTATGACACGAGTGGCAGCTTTCCAACACGGAGCTGCTAGGAGGTGAGGACATCAGCCGTGTGCAGGCGCCACCAGGCCTGGCTGACAGCGTGCACCTACCCCAACCCTGGGAGTTAGGTCTGCAGCCTAGAGTCCCATGGGGTGGGAGCACTCACAGCCCAGCCATCAGCAAAGCCTGCAAAGGGAGTCAGCGGTTCCCCAGCCATCTTCCTGAGTGGTTTCCGCTTAATGATGGCTCACACTGGTGTGAAAGAAAAGGATTCCTGCCCCAGGCATACCACATCCAGTGACCAACCTTTCTGAGCCTCTGGGTCTTTGAAAATGGGGACAACTGTAATAGAACTGCTAACTCACAGGGTTGGCACGAGGGCTGGGGCACTCGTGCACACAAAGCTGCTTTTTCGAGAGCCAGGCATGGAAGCAGGCACTCAGTAAATTTTGCTATCTTTATCCACACACTACAGGAGATACATCTCGACCGTGCCACCTCCTATTGCAGGACTCTTCTATTCCAGCACTGCCCAGTGAGAGTCCTGGCGTTAAGAGCCCAAGTGGTTAAGCACTCGGCTAAGTGGAAGGTCATCAGTTCAAGCCAGCCAGCCGCTCTGCCAGAGAAAGAGGTAGCCTTTTGCTGCCGTGAATATTTACAGACTTGGCAACCCTATGGGGCAGTTCTACTCCATCCTATAGAAGATTGTAATTCTTTGCAGGAGTTGAAAGCCTCATCTGTCTGCCTTAGAACAGCTGGTAGCTTCACACTACTGGCCTTGCATTTAACATCGCCACCCATCACCAGCAGGCCTCCAGGGCTCCATCCTGTAAGACAGCTAGGAGTTGGAAGAGGCCTGGTGGCAGTGATCTGGCTTTTCTGCTTTTGTTTTACCACTGCCCCATTCATGCTCCCGGATAACTTACTTTCTACCTCTCCGCGGTCCACATCCCATATGCAATGCAAACCGGAGAGGTGAGAAATCAGGAACAGGCTCAGGGCAGGTCCTTTGATGTCACAATGTATGTCAGTGTCACTGAGTTGACAGTCCTTGGCCCTGGATGGGAAACTGCAGTGTGTGCTGCAAGCCCCAGCGTGGCTTGTTCTTTAGGTTGTGTGAAAGCAGCCCCGTCGACCACTTGGAGACGAGACCAAGGGACACAGGGGCAAGGGCAGAGGCAGCCTGAGGAGCAGTTGGGGGGTACTTTAAGACCGCCCACCTTTCTCACTGACCTCGAGAGTCCTCCTTGTGTCACCCTTCAGCCACAATACTTATCAGTGAGGGGGTGCTTCAAGAAACCAGAGAAGTCCAACCGGGCCCGTTAGACCGGCTTGACCAAGGCAGAAGACGCACATACAGGAATTTCAAAGTATTTCCCCCACACCAAAAAGAGGGACACGACCTCTGGACAGATACAATGGGGGCAGGAATTGGGTGGGAGGGGTGGTACACAAAGCTCGTGGAACAAGTCCATTCTCTCTTCCTTTCATTTTGCTCCGCATCTTTTGAAGTGTCCTTGTAGCTTAGTTTCCCGGGAAATTCAGTCATTCAAATGATAGCATTTCTTAAAAGGATCAGATGAGGGGCTTTCACTGTTTTGACGCAGGCACATAATTTCTGGACCATCTAAGAAGTTGTCAGTACTGAGAAACACCTTGCCGAGCACAGTCGAGTCTGTGACAACTGCGTCACAGACAAACCCTTTGATCACGGTCACTGCTTCCTATGCAAGGACACAGAGCAGCAGCCAAGGCCACTGATGTTCTAGCACCTGATGCCCCGGAAGCACTTCAGTGGGGAAAAGAGGATTCAAGCGCAGTGTCTTGGCTTTGGAAAGCCTAAGCACTGCCAAAGCGTCAGAGAAACCCATAGAAAATAATGGGTTCAACGAACATTAGCAGACCGGAGAAAACGAGCAAAAATAGCACGGGCATACCCAGAGGAGAGAAAAGAAACACAGCTGATTAAATGTGTTCAATCAAGGGATCTCCCCTAGAGACAAGGAGATTAAATTTTAAACAGTCCTGCTGGCTTAGCAGCCGCTGGGAAAAACCCTGAGGCTCCTGGGCTTTCCTTCTGGGGACAGAAGCGGGGGAACTAGCAGCACTGGCTCTACTAAAGCCGTTTCCTTGGCACCTGCTGTTAAGAACAAAGCTTAGTGAGTAGCCTCAGGCGGAGATAATGGGTGGGAGAGGCATGTGGCCTTTAGGGCAGTGTGCCGGCTAATGTGAGGGCTCACACTGTTTAGGCTTTGCCGCTCACTAGCGTGGCCCGCACCGGGTTGATGACTCTTCCACCACGTGAGCACGCTCCATTTGGTGATCTGAGACGAGCAGCCAATCAGTTGTAAAGCCCATCATTCGAAAACCAATCAGAGGAAAGCCAATCCATTTCCTTGGGAGTGTGGTCTGCACCCGGTGAGAATGGATGTTCTGGGAAAGCTCGCCAACTTGAGCTCTCACCCTCAGAGACGGCAATCAAGCACAGAGGGGAGGTAAGACAAGAGCACCTAGGAACATCAAAGCTATAGGTGTTAAATGCCTCTCAGTTAGTGGTGCAGGGTGCTTCCAGTGAATGTTCCTAGACTTCTCTTCATAAACTCAGAGATCCAATCATGGGAATGGCCCACATTGATCATTCTTTCCAGCTGCGGCTACCACGTGCTGAAAAAGAGCTATGTCCTGAGCCAGACTTCCCGTGGATGGAGCCCTGCAGCAAGCCACGTAATCAACTTGCTCTTCACCACACCCCGCCACCCTGGCCCCTAGGAGAGATCTGCTTGGAAACCAGGTGTCCCAACCCCAACTCCGACCTACCTCCGAGGGGTGCAGTCTTCATGGGGGGGGATGATGACCACCTTCACCGTGACCGACGTTCTCAGGAGGTCAATCATCTGCTCGTGGCTCAGAGTGGCCACGGCCACTTTGCAGATCTCCACCAGCCGGCTGCCCTGCCTCAGGCCTGCCTGCCAGGCATAGCCGTAGGGCTCCACGTCAGCCACGATGCCC